TTGACTACTCTTGAACTCCATTGAAGTATGCAGGAAGTGGAAGTATTTAACAACTGGCAAAATCAAGAAGTTTCTGAAGAAAAAGAGAAAAAGCAACCTCTAGCCACTTTAAAAAATGAACTTCCCTCAGTCAAGAAAACAACACCCTACCTCGCATTCAACATCTGTATTTCTACAAATGAAACAATTAAGGCAATAGTAAAGATTAATTTATTAGAAAATGCCTCATTCAAGAAGTTGGGAACTTTCTCTGCAAACACACACAGAAAAATTTTAGTTCCCATTCTGGTTTGCCTTTTTGCACTCCACTGAACTGGGAGACTCTGAAGTAATGTTTATTTTCGGAATAGTTCATACAGTTGCTAGACATGGGATCCAAATGTCTTGGCAAATCCCATCCTTAGTCCTCATATTCCCTAATACAGAATTATGAGTGGAGTTGAGACATGATTGTTGAAACCTCCTGTACTGGTCCCATATTCCTTCAAATACTTGTAATGTTTATGTGTGTGCTTTTTTGAACATTTCTGTAGCTCTACAGAGATGCAATTAAATGAAAAAAAAAATACTTATTTTTAATACACGCTGTTTATCACTTCTGCAGTTTGTTTAGTTTATTTCATGCTCTTGAAGAAGGAATACTTCTAGTTTTTCAAAGTTATAATTAGGTGTATTCATTTAAAGAAGTAAAATACCAAGAACCATCTGTATACAAACATCAGCCCATCATTAGCTTAAAAATAAAACAAAAGACAAAAATAAAAATATAATGATGTAGTATTCTTACAAGCTGTGGAGAAAAACTATCTTCTTGTCACAATAGAATCTGCATTTTGTTTCAATGGATATTTCAGTGTTTCACATAGGGATACAAAATAATCTCTAATTGTATATTCAGAGTCCAGTATGATATTTCATTCTTATGTCAGATCTCAGAAATGAGTAGTGCATCAGATGTTTAATGACATGTTTTGACTGTATGTTCTTTTGCTATTATACCACAAACCTGAATGTGTTCTTCCTTCAACTTCCTTTCTTATAATGTCTTTGATAGAATCTTACTCAGTTGATTGGAAGAGAGACATAATAGATCTTGACACTGGAAAAGAAATACTGGGTTTTGTTTCATAGGTATTTTATTATACCTATTAAAATTATTTGATTATATTAAAATGATATCTAACATAGAATATAGTATGTATCAAAACTATAGATTTTCTAATTTTTCCTGCAAGTTTGAATTAAAATCAGGAATTGGATCTAGAAATTTGGCTGTTCTGTGTTTGGTAGGTCAGAACGAAGTCCTGGAAACAAATTTCCTTGAACTTGGGAAAACTGAGATTCAATTGGCGTCTGACCTTTGCAGGATAGTCCATCTCTTTGTGGAGATACATAAAAACCTGTCCTCTTCTAGTTCCGTACATGACTAGAGACAGCACAGGCAGGATCAGGAAGACAGGCAAAGACATGAGTGAGCCAATTATAATCTTCATCCATTGATAGATACAGCAAAATTCAGAATCCCAAACTGACTAATGCTCAGTGTACACCAGTCTCCTGGGTAGTAGAGGAAAGACTGATTTATGTAGTTATGGTAGGAGTGGCACCACCACAAGCCAGTCCAGCCGATGACTCCTTCCTACCCCAGACCGTGGATCCCAGCCTAGGGACCCAGGGACTTGGGATCTCTGCCCAGGCTGAGGGATCCAGCTGCTCCTTTCCTGTTTGCAGGTTCAACCAGTAGCAAAGTACAGAATGTGTCCCAGAGACCAGCAATAACGATGTGCTAATATAGGGTCAGTCAAGAACTGGTACTTCAGATTCAGTGAAGCTGAGAATCACATATTGAAATGCTTCTGTGGTTAGTTCTCAAATGCTATCAGTATTGGTAGTAATTTGTTGGAACATATAGCTGAACCTAATCATACATTAGTGGCTTAGTTATTTGGTTCATACATTTTTTGATATGAAGAGTGAATTGTGGCTCTAGGTTTTGATCTTTTTTTCAGTTAGTTCTTGAAGGATGGTGGATAATCTTTCATTATATTCAGATATATCCATATAATGTCCTTGGCTTTGCTGGATTTGTATCAATATTATTAGGAGTTTACCTCAGTGTTGGTAACCTTGAATTTAATATTTAAAACAAAGGAATTGTGGAAGTGCTTTGAACCAGAAGATGATACACAGGTTTCCTGCACAGCTCTGCTAACGCACTGACAATCATAATGACCATATGTTTGGTGTTAGTCTGGGGCTCCTGATGAGGAGTTATAGTGTAGTTTCAGTGACAGTTTGAAAAACAGACAATTATACTGAAAGTGTGAGCTGTTTAAATATAATTGGAGAAAGCATCTGATAGGAACATGCAAATATTGTGCTTGCATTGACCAAACAAATGAGAATTAACTTGTACTTTCTGTCGCTCTCTACTGTTGTCTGTAAAGCCTCAGATGAATCAGTTTAATCAGTCACTGGAAATAACAAGTTAAAAAAAGTGGAAGGCAGGTTTCTGAAAGCCCTGTCCTCTTTTCATCAGATAAGTCATTAGCCAATGCACATGCTGGGGAGAAAATATAAATCCTGTCCCTACAACCTGACTGTTCTGCCAATCCAAAATAACGATTCCCACAGTCTAGGACTATTTTGGTGGGGGGCAGTTGGTCTGATGAGGTTATTATGCCCTAGTTAGGCAGTTGGGGGATCCCTAGGACTTTTTCCTTCTCCATCTGATGTGTATTAGTGTGAGACGGTTATTTATCTTTCTCATATCAGTTTTGGCTCCCTGTAATAATGTCATAATTTTTCTCCAAAGGTGATATGACCTCAAGACAAACCTTTGCCCAATTTCTTGAAATACTTGTCAGAGCTAACTTTTAGCATGGTCAGTGCTTAATTACTATAACATCATTGATTAATTCTGTGGCCCACCAGTGAACTCTGAAGTGAATGCTTATTGAAGTGAGTCAGGAAAATTTAGGAGCTACCAGCAGTAATTTTAGCTGATGGGAAGACAGTTTTAGAAAATTTTAATAAACATTATTGGTCATATGAATGTTCTGGCAAACCGTTTCAGTTAAAATTGGTCTTAATTATATTTTTAGGAAGACTTATGTGTATCTGGGCTTTTTTTTAGTAATAGGTGCCACATTAAGCAGCATGTGTCCTCAAGTCCCAGATGCTTGTTTCTGCTGCCTGTTCATTTCCCTCTCTTTTAGTCAATCTATTTGTGTGGCACATGAGAAACTGTATTCAGGAACAGAATTTAAAATTACATTAATTCCTTTTTCCTGCTGCTGTTCAAACAGTATCAATTTAATAATCTGTTATTCTCTTGTCTCCACAAATAGCTGTTTCCATGCTATTGAAGAAGTCAGTGAGGCATTAGGGATCAGGAAGCTGAATAAGAAAGTGGGAGCTGTATAATCTGTTTTAGCTACCAAAAGAAGTGTGTGTGATTTTTTTCACCTGTGTCTGTCAGCCATGCAGAACTGTAAGGCTAGTCATTTTCCTAGCTGAAATTTGCAAAACCATTATGCATTTTTCAGACTTTTAACCTTCTTTACCAAGAAACATTTGTCAGCCCCTCTCTCTTCCTTCCTGCTCTCATCTTAAACAGATTCTGTCGAAATTATTTTCTTGAAGCTTTTTCAGGGAGTTCTTTGTCAAAGATTTATAAGTAGCGTATGAGGCTCTCCACTTACCAAGGGCATTTTTCTCAAGTAAATTAACACATTCACTTCTGAAGGGCACTGAGTTAAATAATTACATACAAACATCCTCTGTCTCCCTGCCTTTTAGCCTGAGTGAGGAGAATAACGAACTCCAGCAATTCTATAAGAGTCAATTGAAATTGTGTATTGCCGATACAAGTGCGTTTATATATCTTCCTAGCAACTGATCACACATAAACAAAAGGCTTGATTGGTTACATGCATTCTTCACACACTGTCCACGTGCCTAAGACTAACATTTGATTGGTTATTACTCCCTGTCCATAATACGCCAGACAACTCATTGGCTACAAGTTAGTTACTGCTATCCTAAGCCTATTGGTTAATTAAATCTTACAAGCACAAACACAGTGTTCTATACACTTTTATCTCAGGGCAGAAAACTTTCCACTGTTTAAGAAACGAACAGATGTTTTCCATTAACCGTCACCTTGCACCTTTTCTTCAGACAAAGCTCTTGTTTTTCTGCATTCCTGTTTGATACTCCTAAGGTTTCTGGCTGACGAAGGTCAAGATGTCCTCATCATTCAACAGCTATACAGCACTCTCAGTTCTTCCTCCTCTTTTTGCGTCCCTTTTGCAATGTAGCCAAAGTCTTGCTCTTGTCCAATGTGTCCTCCAAAAACAATCCCACAGCCTGAGTCAAGATTCTAGTTCATTCTCACCACTTATAAACCACCTTCAGAAAGACAGGCAAATGAATATTCAGAGCAAAAATAAAATACTACAGAACATCCTCAGATTCCTCAGAAGTGGGTGAGGACATTAGATTTTAGGGTTAGTTTTAAGTTTACAGAAAGTTTCCAGTACAGTTATTCATTGCCCAGGCGGCTTAGTTCTAGAGAAAGCTGAACTGGAAATTCACTTCATGGAATATATGGAATACATTTATCTCAGAAAAATGAGAATGTGATTCCTAGAATATAGCAAGGAGATGAATCATTTTCCTATTCCTTTAATGACTATATGAAAAGTAATGAGAAACAACAATAATGGGCTAGGAGAGAAGAAGGGTAGCAGAAGACTTTCATCCTGTACACAGAAACTAATGAAAGTATCATTAGCTGTGCTTTATAAATTCTTGCAGGCAGTTGCCAATGATTTAACTCAACAGCATTTCAATGTAATCTAATAACTGTATAATATTTCCTTCCCACCTTGCCTTTCTCTTCCCCAGCTAGAAAACCTGTCATTTTCTGTGAAAAAATACTGGCTTGAGTAATAGTATATGAAGTTAATAATGCTTTTTATTCTGCTGGTCTGCAGGGTTTCCTATACAGATGAATGACTCGGATCACTCGCTATTTCAGCATTCATTTCAAGGATGCATGCAGTTTATTCATGTGGATGATCAGCTGGTGGATTTACACGCAGTGGAGCAAGGCCAGCTGGGAAGCTTTGCCAATGTCACCATTGACATGTGTGCCATTATTGACAGGTAAGTTGTGGAGACATCACTGACACTCTGATACACTGATACCTGTCTTGCATATTCTGAAAATATACAGTGATACAGGAAAGGTGGTTCTGACGCTGCCAGTGATCACATCAAGGCAGTCCTACCTTTTTAGCAGTGGGAACCATGCTTAGATGATGGAGATTATGGCTTTATGTTGTAGATCAGCCAGGGTGCAGTGGAAAGCATACCTCCAGTCTCCCCACTCAGGCAGAGAAGGAGTTGAAAAACTCTCGTAAAACAAATTCAGCCCACAAGTCAATAATATGGCTGCCTTGAAGAGAAGGAACTCTCCCAAAAGGTCACAGTTTGTCTGTTTCTTAGATGAATGTTATGGAGATCTTTTTGCAACTAAAAGTTGTTCTTCCTGGCTTCAGTGCCTTCTTGGCTTCACTGAATTCCTTAGAGAACTAAAATATGTCCACATACTTGCACAACTGTACATGTAATAAATGCTCAATCTTTATTAAAATAACGTTTAGTGGGTGGGTTTTTATCAAACTGAGAAGAGTAATTAAAAATTATGGCAAGCTTTTGCTTTGAGTCTTACCTTTTCAACCACTTACCTGTGTTAATTTCTGTTGCACCTGATAAATAGTTTTTTCTTTCTCGGCAAAAAAGAAATACTAGTAAAGACAGAGAAAGGGCGAATAGCCCAACTCCTGAACACAGGAAAATTGGTTTGTCATGAAAATTACCTACATATTAAACCCATTGCAAGTCTGCTGGAAAGCTGAAAATGGCTTTTCAGAATTCTGCTTTGGAAGAAGAAAAGATTACAAGAGCATTGAACCCTAGAATAATTCAGGTAACAATCAAGCACTGGGATTCATGTGCTCTAAGTCCTGCTCAATGCAGGGCCAGTTTCAAAGCTATATGAGGTTATTCAGGGCCACATCCAGTTAAGTTTTTAGTATCTCCATGGATGGAGATTCCACAGGCTAAGTGACTCTGGATATCATCAGCAAATATCTGCATAGTTATGGTAAAGAAATGCATGTGGTTATTTCCTACCATAAGGTTAACAGAATCCCAGAGATAAATGCTACTGTGAAAAAATGAAATATGGTATCCTTCTTTGGTCTTACAAAATGTCTTTTCTTCCTGAAGTGTAGACATCAGTTTGCACCAAACAAGTTGTAATGGGTTGACCTTGTCCAGCAGCCAAACACCCACCATACCTTTTACTCACACCCCTCGCCCAGGAGATGAGGATTAAAAATAGAAGAAAGGCAAAAAGAATCATGGATTAAGATGACAGTTTATTAAGAATGGCAGTTTAATAAGAAAAGCAAAAGCTGCACATGCAAGCAAAGCAAAGAGAGCAATTCAGTCACTACTTCGCATCAGCAAGCAGATCTCCAGCTGACTCCTGGGAAACAGGGTTGCAGCACATGCGAGAGCGCTGTTTGGGGAGAGTCCACAAGCCTAAACATCCAACCTTCCTCCTCCATTCCCTGAGTTTTTATTGCTGAGCATGGCATTGGATAGTACGGGATTGTCCTATGGTCACTTTTGTCCGCTGTCCCAGCTGTGTCCCCTCCTAACCTTTTGCCCACCCCCCCATCCTCCAGACCTTTACGGGGGAGGGTGTGGAGAGAAAGCCTTGATGCTGTGCAAGCCCTGTTCAGTGGCAGCTCCAGCATCGGTCTGTTACCAGTACAGTTTTAACCACAGCTGGGAAGCACAGCACCATGCAGGCTGCTATGAAGATTAATTTAGCAACTTCATCCCAGCCAGACCCATTATACCATTTTAGTAATCTCAGTGTTAAAGACCATGCTTTGTGGCGTACCAGTGAGCTTTTCTGGCGTGTCAGGCCACTTTAGATTGCTGCTTCTCATGGACATGTTGAGAGATGAAGTCATAGTGAAAAGAGGATGTGAAAAGGTTCTGTCTTAGGGAAGAAGTTTGTTCTATCATCTCACATAGGACTGAAATTAGAAAGGCCTCCTGTGGTTAGTATTTGGTACTTGGAATTGTGTAGTTTTATTTTGAATATTTGCTTTGGAAATGGAAATTGACTTGGAAGAAAGGATGTGAAGATACATCTAAAGTCTCTGCTTTTTCCCCAGTGGATAAATGTAAGCTTATGTGACAATTTGTATTGATCCTACTTATGCCAGTGTCTATTAGAAGTAATTCCATCATGATAGTGAAGTTAATCAGAATTAGGCTTTTTCAATGTATTACAATGTAATTACAATTAACTTACAATGTAAATTAATCAGAATCAGAACTTTACAATGTGTTTTGGAAAAATAAGACTTAAAGCTTCCTATATGTCAAGCAGCTTGCTTTGAAGTGAACTTCATATAGTAGTTCCCATTTATAAGGTATTTATTTTTATAACCTATAAAAATATAGATTCAAATATTAAATATATTATAATATGCCATACATGATATTAAATACCTCTTACTATATTAAAATATTATTATGCTTTATGTATTTAACATATATATTAGAATTATTTTATATAGTTTATATAGGTAACATTTGTATTAAGAATATATTTTACTACAAATATCAGTGTTTTATATATGTTTATGTATGTATATTTCTCTATAGAAGAAAACTTATTCTCACTCTTTTTCCCTCTTCTGTCACCTTGGACATTGATATCATCCTCATTATAGAAATCAAAACTCTGTGTCTTACATCTATGTTTTCTAAGCACTGGAGGATTGTGTTTCAAGCAAAATAATAATTGTATAATCATAGGAAATAAGAATAGTACCCAAAGAATTTTCTTAGGGTTGGTTTTGGTTTTTTTTAAGGATTGAGATATAATATAGTTTGTTGTTTTCCCATGATCAAGTTTATTTCCTTGTAGTTTGCACTTTAAAATAAACCCTTTGACTAAGAAGTAATAATGCCAAGCTTTAGATCTGACTGGATTTTCACAGATGTCTTATTAACGTTTGGAAATAAGTTTACAAACACTTCTGTTACAGTATGCTACTACATATAGAATTTTTTGTGTGGCTTTCTTTTAAAGGATCCAAGTACCATGCGTGCTATATACTAGCTTAATTTCATTTTGTTTGAAACGGGAAGATACTTCTGCCTGTGACACTGGGATCCTCCTGTTTTCTTTAACTTGTTTGTCTCTGAATCATAAAGGCTTCAGTCATCATCAACATGAAAATTGCTTTCACAGCCACACTTCAGTGAAGATCCCCACTGGGCAAAAAGATAAGATGTTGTATTGAATTATTCTTACTGTAGACTTCAGCCATTTGGTTGGGGGAGAAAAAGGTGAAGTTGTAAATGGTGGCGTTTTTCATCATTAGCAAGAGTGGATAGTAAGGAGGGAACAGTTATCTCTATAAGAACATGACAAAAGGTACTGAGGGTGGCAAGTTCTCATGTTGCACCTGCCTGGAGGCAACTGCTTCCAAAGTCCTAGGTTCTGCTAAGCTAAATATCAGTCCCACATGAAAAGGGTTTCTGTATTTTAGTTCCAGTACAGTTTTTAAGATGTTAGAAGAATAGTCACATCTGAGTAATACACTTGTACTTGGGAGACACGAGTGTTGAGCCACTGTCTATTTTTAGTCTTCCCCTCTTCACATGAACATTTTGATATGACAAAGACTACAAACTGAGATCTTATTTACAGGGAACACCAAAGCTAAGGAACATACTGGTTTTGTCAGTGGACAAATAGTATAAATGCATATAATTTATATGCATATAAATGCAAGCATATATATGTAGTAATTACAGGCAGTTAAAACACTACTGCAGAAAAATAATCATCTTTGTTTCTGTATCTTAATTAACTTTGATTATATTAGCAATGGAAGTTGCATTGTTGTCACAGTGATCAGCATGCTGTACTGCTTTTGACAGCACAGGTCCCTAAACACCTCCTTTACTTATCATTAACAAACTAACTTGTTGCTACAGTCCAGATGGTACAGTTGTACCTTAGGATTTTAGCACAGGACATTGAACTGGAATTACTACTCACAGCAAATTTATCCCAGCCGTCTCACAGAATTCTAAAGCTGGCCTGACTTTGTGGTGGCTAGAATTATGGATTTTAATCACGAAATCACAGTGAGGGGATACTAAACTGATTTAAAAATATAGTGTTCATTCTGTTGTTGTAGATTATGCAGAACATATGCCAGTTTTAATGAAAACCTCTGTGTACCATAAGAGGTGAAATGACAGAAATGGGGAGAAAAATGCAGTACAAAGAATTTTCATATATCTGCTTCAAGTGTTTTATGAATGTGCAAACTGTGTGATTACCTCTGTAACACAGTCAGATGAATTAGATGTCAATTTTTAATAATAATTTCACATTAATGAATTAATGTAAGTAATCAGATGTGTGTGGCAGAACATCGTTGGGTGATTATTGCTCACCTGCTGTGGTGATACACTTTGTATGACAGAGTGCCAGCAATCAGCTTTAATCCCACACAGCCACATTCTCTAGACTATGTGATTGCCAGTCAAAATTCGTAATAATTCATTTAAATAACAAACCACAGCAAACATATTGGTGCATGAAAATGGCCACAATGTAATGGACAGCAAGACAGACTTTCTTTGGAATTAAAAATTATCATTGCAAATAGTCTTAAAATTCTTCACTTCTAGTTCTTTACATGGACTTTAGGCTTCTGCCTTCCTTCTCTGTTCTCCCTCTCCCTTTGCCAGTTCAGTGGTGAGGCAGACAGCAAGGAATAAGACAGACATCATCTTGTAGTACTCTGCATAAGAAGCAGATGATATACCAGTGGCCAGACTGGAAGAAAAACCTGCTTTACATTTGAGTTGTTCCCAAGGCAAATTCACAAAAAGGAAGTAAAATAGGACTGGGGAAGAGCTGAAACCATACCATGACCTCAGCCTGGAAGCCACTTCCTGCATATGCCTTCTCCCTTTCCTCTCCCTCTCCCCACTTCTCTTTGGAACCATATAAACTTTTGATGTGGAAATGGAGATGAAAACTGCCTTTC